TTAGCCAAATGAAATTTTTACCTCATGTTCATCTAATAAAAATCGGGCTGGGGATTTAGCTCAGTGGTTCTGCCACCTGCCTCGCAAGCGCAAGGTCCTGAGTTCGATTCCCAGTACCAAAAAAAAAAAACCCCAAACAAAAAATAATAAAAATCCTGAGCACAGCAGTAGCAAGTTCAGATGCAAATTAATTTTTAAAAAATTCCAATGACATTCTTCACAGAACTAGAAAAAACAAACCTAAGGGCTGGGGATTTAGCTTAGTGGTTCCGCCACCTGCCTCACAAGTGCAAGGTTTCGAGTTCGATCCCCAGTACCCAAAAGAGAAAAAACCTAAAATTCATATAGAAACACAAAAGACCCAGAAAGAATGCCAAAACAATCCTGAGAAAAATAAGCAAGTAGAAACGTCACAATATGCAGTTTCAAATTATACTTCAAAGCCATAAAACAGAAATAGCATGGTACTGGCACAAAAATAGATACATAGATCAATGGAATAGAAAACAGGACATAGAAACAAACCCATCCAATTGTAGCCATCTGATTTTGGACAAAGGGACCGGGTCTTTTGGAGAAAAGACATATGGGTGCTGGGCAAACTGGATATCCATATGTAGAAGACTGAAACTAGATCCCTACCTCTCACGCTGTACAAAAACTCAATTTAAAATGAATCAAAGACCAAGGTATAAAACCTGAAATCTTGGAACTGCTAGAAGAAAACAGGAGAAACATTGGAAGTAATAGGCACAGGTAAAGATTCCTAAATTGGACTCACTGGCACAGGAAATAATGGCAAAAATCAACAAACAGGACCACATCAAATTAAAAAGTTTCTGCACAGCAAGGAAACAACCAAGAGTAAAGAGATCATGTACAAAATGGGAAAAAATCTTTGCCAGCTACTCTTTCAATAAAGGATTAATATCTAGAAGATATAAAAGACTAAAGAAAAATAGGGGCTGGGGATTTAGCTCAGTGGTTCCGCCGCCTGCCTTGCAAGCGCAAGGACCCAAGTTCGAGCCCTAGTACCAAAAAAAAAAGAAAAACAAAAAATAGCCCAATCAATAAATGGGCAAACGAATTAAGCAGACACTTCTCAAAAGAAGTACAAGTGTCTAATAAGTATATTAGACAAAATGTTCACATCTTTAGCCATTAGAGAAATGCAAAACAAATCTACACAAAAATACAAAACAATAAAAATTATCAAAAATATAAAAACACTAAATGCTAGTAAGGATGTGGGGAAAAGAATCCCTTCTATATTGCCAATTGGAATGTAAACTAGTTCAGCCACTGAGGACATTTCCTCAAAACAACTAAGAATAGAACTACCATATGACTCAGCTATCCCACTCTTGGTACATACCCAAAGGAATTAAAAATCAGCATGCTATAGGGGTATCTGCATACTCATGTTTATTGCAACACAATTCACAATAGGTAAGATATGCAACCAATGGATGAATGGATTTTTAAAATGTGGTGTATATACACAATGGAGAATTAGCCATAGAGAATGAAATTATGTCACTTGCAGAAAAATGGAACTACCAATATCGTCAAATGAAATAAGCCAGACTCAGAAAGACAAGTAGCACATATTTTCCCTAATATGTGACTTTTTTTTTTTAAAAGTATGAAAGTAGGAGAGTAGTGTTATTGGACAAGAAGAAAGCAATGAGGGAGAGGTGTGCATGGGTTAAGAGGGAATGGCTATGATCAATATGTAACATGCATGTATGAAAATGCTACACATAAATACAATTACTTTGTGAAATTAATAGGCATTAAAATATTTTTTAAAAGTCAAAAAGATCAAGAATGGGATAAAGTGTATTCCAGACCACAGAAGAGGATGTGAGAAAGCCAAGGGGTGGGAACAGTTGTGTCTGTTCTGAAGGACTGTAGAAAGTTTAATGTGAATGGCTCACTTAGCACTGGATGGTGGCACATTCAAGGCTCCTAATGGGTGCAAGGAACAGAAACCACCTTGGGCTCCTCCAAACAGAACAGAAATTTATTGGGAAAACAATAGGTAACCACACATATCTAACACAAGAGCTAGAAAATCAAGACACTTAAGCCAGGCCAGTACCAAAGTATGGAGAGGGCCCAGAAGTGCAGCTGAAAGCACTCACAGAAACAGTCTGGTGGGGGTCACTACCATATACTAAGAGCACACCACCACTGTCATTGACCCTCTGGGACACTCACTGCAGTGGGTCTACACTGAGCCCTGGGTCACATTCCTGTGTTCCAGATGCCTGAACTTTTTAGTTTCTCCATGTGAGACAGCTCCTGTTCCCCACCAAGACCCTGTGGAACTTCTCAAACAAGAACAATCAAAAATGGCAACTAAGGGCTGGGGATTTAGCTCAGTGGTTTCGCGCCTGCTGCACAAGCACAAGGACCCGAGTTCAATCCCCGGCACCAAAATAAATAAATAAATAAACAAATAAAATGGCATGATTACTTTAAAAAAAAAAAAGGCAACTGTCCACTGCATGGGACATAATAGAAAATGAGCTAGAAAGGTAAACGAAGAACATGAAGAGCTTGTTCATTGATGTTAAAGGAGTCGAGCCTTTATCTGTACTGCCAGCCTGGGGGTAGTAGCAATCTTCATCCTCAAAATCATATTCTGAGACAGTATGGAAGGTATCCTAGAAGAGGCAAGAGTGGGTAGCAGGCTAATATGAGCAAAGCATTTCTTTTTTGAAGAACTACAATGTGTTGTGTACACTCTAAGGAAGAAGTCACTAGCTGGCTGCAGAAGGATGTTTTTCTTGACCTTTAACTAGAATCTGTGGGTGGCAAAACAGTTGCCCAGGCCCAGGAAGCTATCCTCCATGCTCTGCCTTCGGCACCTTGTGTCAGTCTGGCCCCATTTCCCACAACTAATTCCATAAAAGAAAAGCCACACCAGCTCCTTTATCCATTCATTCATTCATTTAGCCTTAACACCATTTATTGAAGATTTACTGTATGCTAGGCATTTTATATACAGTGTTTCACTTAAACTTTGTATTAGTCCTATAAGGTTAAATATTAGCTGTATTCTATAGAGTAAAAAGTAGAGGTCTAGAAAAAAATTGAGTAGCTTTACCAAGTTCATATGGCTGGTAAACATGAAAACCAGAGTTTCAACAGAAGTTCAAGTTCCAGATCTTTCCACTTGCCAAACTACTTTGTGGAACTCAGTAGGTGGAGGCCCTCTATGTGATGGAGGCTATCTATGCAGAACTAGGTTCAAAGGCCACTCTTATCAGCTCTACCAAAACCCTGAAACACACCAAGTGAAAGATACGTCACACAGGGGAAATGACATGTGCACAAAAGCACACAGTCTTTGAAGAGCAAGAAGTGATTCTAGGGGCTGGGGA